GTCAGGATGTAAAGTCCTTAGGCCTGCCATCTTCACCAACCTTGCCATCCTCCCTACCTTTGACATCTCCACCACAATTATTATTGGTGAAGCATCTTGTGTTCGTACCTGGTATGGGAGCGATGTAGATCCAAGCCTTGGTTGACTCAAGGGCCACAGCCAATTTCATGGATGTTCATTTTGTAGAGCAGTGGTTCATTCCTCAGCAACAGGTGTCCCGCCAATAATGGTAGAGACGATTGATGGTCGGCCCCTTCGTTCGTGACCTGTGGTTGCTGCAACCAAACCTCTTTGCATGCGTATTGGGCAGCATGTGGAGAAAACTATGTTCTACGTTACTGCAGTGCCTCATTTTACGGTGGTGGTGGGTTTGGAATGGTTACAGGCCCATGATCCACAGATTGTCTGGTCGTCTGGAGCTGTGCAGTTCCTTGATAGGAAGTGTGCCAACCATTGCTTGCGTTCCTGTGCAGGGAGTGTAGCTACGCCCATGGACCTGGATCTACTTGCGGAGTTGGTGGACTTTGCTGATGTGTTTGGGGAGAAGGAGGCGGATCAGTTGCCTCGGCATCGGGAGTATGACTGTCCAATCGACTTGTTGCCCAATGAAAAATTGCCGGTGGGTCAGATATATTCCCTGTTGGAATCGGAGTTGGCCATGTTGCGGGATTTTATTGACAAGAACCTCTAGAAAGGGTTTATCCGGCCTTCTACCTCCCCATTGGCAGCACCTGTGCTTTTTGTAAAAAAGAAATCAGGAGAGCTACGTTTGTGTTGTGATTACCACAAGCTGAATGCAATCACAGTGAGGAATCGGTACCCGCTTCCCCTCATCCCTGAACTGATTGAGCGGCTTCATCAAGCTAAGATATTTATGAAGTTAGACTTGCGTGGGGCCTACAATCTGGTTCGCATTCGTGCAGGGGACGAGTGGAAAACAGCTTTCTGGACGAGGTATGGGCATTTTGAGTATACCATGATGCCTTTTGGATTAACCAATGCCCCAGCTGTGTTCATGCATTTCATGCATTATGCTTTCCATGATTTGTTGGATCAATTTGTGGTCGTTTATTTAGATGACATTTTAATTTACTCAAGACTCCCTGCAGGAACACTGGCAACAATGCGGCTGCTGTTGCAACGTTTGTTTGATAACCACCTGTTTGCTCAGCGTGAGAAGTGTCAGTTTGCACAAACCACGATTGACTTCTTGGGATATCGTATTTCACCTGCCGGGGTGGAAATGGACCCAGAAAAAGTACAATCGTTGCAGGCGTGGGAACCTCCACAGTGGGTTAAGGATGTGCAACGACTGTTGGGGTTTACGAACTACTACCGCACATTTATTCCCCACTTTGCTGCCTTGGCTGCTCCCCTTTCTAATCTACTCAAGAAGGGGGAGACGTTCTATTGGGGTGCTGAGCAGCAGGCAGCTTTCGAGGCGTTGAAAGTCACCTTTGCTTCTGAGCCTATCCTCAAATACCCTGATCCAGGCCAGCCATTTGTGGTGGAAACAGATGCTTCCGATGTGGCTGTTGCTGCGGTGCTCCTCCAGGCCTATGCTCCCACAGGCACCTTGTTCCCATGCGCTTATTATTCCCAGAAGTTGTCGGCTCCAGAGCGCAACTATACAATTTGGGACAAGGAGCTATTGGCGGTTAAGGTCGCTTTTGAGACATGGCACCACCTGGAGGGGGCTCATCACCAAATCGAGGTTTGGATGGATCATCGCAATTTGGAACACCTACGTACAGCTCGGACATTGAACCAGCATAAGGTGAGATGGTCCTTATTCTTTGCTCAATTTGATTTCTGGGTAACCTATGTTCCGAGTGGAGGGAACCAATGCGCCAATGCCCTATCTTGGAAGCCTGAGTATACCCAAAGGGAGGATAAAATCTTGCCCTGGACAGTGATTCTGTTGGAGCGGTTTGCGGCCACCAAGGAACCTGTGGACTTCCAAGTGAGGATTCAGGAGGTGCAGCAGCAAGACCCATTTGTGGCATCTCGACATTGAGAATTGGATGAGAATGGGAGACAAGAGACTCCTTGGGCGTATATTGGGGACCTGTTGCAGTTCCATGATTGCATTTTCGTACCTGGAGGTCCTGTTCATGGCTTTATCCTACATCAATTTCATGAGTGTCCGGCGGTGGGACACTTTGGGGTGTTCAAAACAAACACTGTACTTCATCTCTTGGACATTGTGATGGCTAAGACTTAAACATGATGTGTTGGGATATGTGGCGTCCTGTGGGATCTGTCCCAAGCCAAGTATGCTCCTGGTGTACCCCGTGGTCTCTTGCAGCCCTTGACCATGCTAGAATGACCGTAGGGGGCAGTTTCATTGGATTTCATTGTTGAATTACCACCATCGAATGGTGCCACAACCATTTTGGTGGTGGTGGATATGTTGACTAAAATGGCCCACTTTATTCCATGTGCGGGTCTTCCATCGGCCAAGATAACGGCTCAATTGTTTATCTCCCATGTTTTCCGGTTGCATAGATTACAAACCGCATGGTATCAGATCGGGGGGTACAATTTATGGCACGCTTCTGGCAGACCCTACTCGCGAAACTGCAGCTTCAGGTGTGTCTGTTGCCTGCTCATCACCCCAAAACTGATGGGGGGACAGAGAGAGAGAATGCTATTTTGGAGCAGTACCGCCACTGTTTCAGCAATACTCAACAAGACAGTTGGGTGGAAGTGCTGCCAGTGGCAGAATTCGCTTATAACAATGCTCAAGATGCATCCACCCGTGTGTCCCCTTTCTTTGCTAACTATGGGTTTCATCCACGACTTTTCCCTTTAGCCCCATCTGATTCCCCAGTTCCAGCAGTGGATACATTCTTGCAGGAGTTAAAAGCTGTGCACCACATGGTCTGTGATCAACTAGAGAGAGCCAAGGAGGACTATAAATGGCGATGTTCCGCCTTTAACGGTAGGCTATCGGGTTTGGCCCTCTACTCGATACTTACCAACGACATGACCATTGAAAAAACTCGGTCACCATTACTTAGGATCTTTTCCAGTCAAGGCAGTGATGAATCCTGTGGCTTATCGTCTCTCCCTGCCACGGACCATGCATATCCATCCTGTTTTTCATCGTTTCCTGTTAGTCCCTGCCTCGGCCGACAATCCGCATAGACTGGCTCCATCACAGCCGGCCCCAGTAGCCCCTCTGGGAGAGTAGTAGTATGAAGTGGATAGCATCTGAGATTCACACCTGTTGCAAGGCTGATTTCAGTATTTGGTGGCATGGAAAGGTTATGGACCAGAGGACTTCACCTGGGTTGATGCCACTGATGTTCATGTTCCTCGTTTGGTCCAGGACTTTCACGCTCGGTTTCCTCAACGTCCACCTGGTCTCAAGGGAGGGGGCCCGGGGGGGGGGGGAGGATAATGTCATGCCCCTGGTGGAGTCTGACTCTGAGGAAGACGAGGAACAGCCAACAGGGAGTGGGAGTGTGCCTCCAGAGGTGGTGGAGAAGGCTGGGGAAAGACAGAGGCCAGCTGAGCAATCAAAGGAGGATCCAGGCCGATCCCCTACCCATCCTAGGTCAAGCAGAGTGGATAGGATCAGGGAAAAGTGAGGTCTACTCAGGAGATTACCATGATCCTCCTCGTGGCTTGCAGCTTGGAGCTATGTATATAAGTTTGTAATAACGCAGTCAGAATTGCTGGAGTCAAAGTTTAGTGTTTACTTTGAAAGAGGATTATCTTTGCTGGCATTCTTCCCTTAGACTTTTCTCGGTTATGTTTCTGGAGTTTATGATTAGTTATGTTGGCTTGCTTCAGAACTCTCATCAATGCGGTTTGTTTTGGTTTTCTTTTTGCCTCCTTATTTACTTTTGTGACTTTAAACTGTGTCTAATAAAACAGTGAAGTTAAATTGAAACCCTTACCAGACTTTAATGTATGTTTTGGGTTATTTTGAGAGACTAAGGGTTATCACACAGGGTCTCTTCCCCCCCCCCCCCCGTGAATGGGGAACCACACCTGCATTTTCAGATTCATTGTCCTGTTATTGATCCCCAGGTGTAGGAGAAGAAGGGGATAGTGTTCCATGGCTTTGATTATTTCTGTTACATCTTCATTTTTGCTTCAGGGAGTTAACATGCCTGCCTACATTGACTATTCGCTGTGCAGACTATAGTTTCTGTTCCCCTAAGAATTGAATCGCCAGTCACTGAAACTCTTTTCCTAGTAAATTGTGAGATATTTTCTTCGTGTTGCAGAAATGCTGGATTTTGCCTCTTTTTTAGAATCTATTGAAGACTGCTCTTTTGTGGGAGACTGCATATTCCCTTCTTGAGGGAGAACATGACAGCGATTGTTCAGTTCCAGAGGACCTTCTCTGGAGTGGAGTAGAATAGATAGAAGGGGCTTTGCTCACCGTTGTTGTTTTCTTCTAAAAGTGACAGGCTTCCATTGGTCTTCCTCTTTAGGCTCAAATATAGAGTCATTTTTTTAAAATGGAAGCTGCTTGTTCCCTATTGTGTTCAAACTGCATTGCTGGCCTCACTCAATGTTTTTGCATCCTCCCTAAACTACAAAGCAACAATAGGAAGCCATTCTAGCAGGAAATCTGTTCTGGCCCAAAGAACAGCGTCCATGAATACCTACATAGGTTGTACTCTATACACAATTAGATATACCTGGCACATCCAAATCCTATGGGGGGGGGTGTCTTCACAGTATTTCTCACATCATGTAAAATTGTCCCCCCCTCCTGAGCAAAAGGAAAAGGCAGGGATCATCCCCAGTTCTGGCAGGCAAATGTGGGGCAACAAGGACTCTGTCAGCCATCCTTCTCATCATGCTAAGAAAAGGGAAGGAGAGGCCAGCCCCACAGGGAGGATCCCAGCATTGCTTTGATTCTACGGGGAGAAAATGATAGCTTTGGAGGCCCCTTCAGGGTTCATAAAGAGGATCTTCCAGATATTGTTTGGACTATTTGGAGAGCCGAAGAAAATAAATCTTCTCTCTCCTTCACTTCTTTTTTCTTCATCCTGCAGGTGCCACCAGGAGATCCTTTGGACAAAGTTCTGCTTGCAGGATCCAATCTGGGTCAGTCACCGGGACCAGAGGTTTCGTCTCCTGAGCTTTTGGATTCATGCTGGAGCCCATCCTCCTGCCCATGCTCCAACTTTTTGGCCAAAGTTCTGCTTGTTAGAGTTTCCTCGGATAGAAAGCCCTGAAAGTGAGCAGCCCCTGAAAACTGTGCATGGGGTGGAAGACTTTAGCCAAAGGTCCCCTGAGATGAATCAGCTGAGACTCTCTAAGTGCTCTGAGTGTGGGAAATCCTTTGCTCACCGGTCCCTCCTTTTGATCCACCGGAAGCTGCACACGGGGAGTGGATCCCACCTGTGTTCTCTTTGTGGGAGCTCCGTTCCTGGAGTCTGGAGCTTTGCCAAACATCTCCGGAGCCACCCTGAAGTGAAGCCTTACAAATGCGGAGAGTGCAGGGAGCGTTTTGCTAAAGGCTCGGACCTTGGAGCCCATCAGAGAATCCACCAGGGAAGAAAGAGATCTCAGGAATCCTGGAGGCGCTGGGGAAGATTTCCTGCGAGACGGCGTCTTTCTAGGCCTCCGAACAGCCCGACTGAAGAGAAGCCCTGCAAGTGTGAGCAATGTGGGCTCTGCTTTCCTCAAGCCTCACAGCTGCTTAAACATCAGCAAATCCACACCAGAGAGAAACCTTATCAATGTCTGGAGTGTGGGAAATCTTTCCGTAATAAACAATTGTTTAGAAAACATGAGAAAATTCACATAAGAAAGAGTCCTTATAAATGCTTAGAGTGTGGAAAACGTTTCACTCGAAGCTCATCTCTTTGCAAACATAATAAAACACACACAAAGGAGGAAAATAAAACATGCCCAGAATGTGGAAAAAGTTTTTCCAGGAAATCATGCTTGCTGCAACATCAGAGACTTCACACCGGAGAAAGACCCCATCAGTGCCCAGAATGTGAGAAAAGATTTTTGGATTCTTCTGAACTTCGGAGACATGAAAAGACACACATGGGAGAAATACTATATAAATGTAAGACACACCTAATTCAACACAGAATTCACACTGGGGAAAGAGCCTATCAGTGTCCAGAATGTGGAAAAGGTTTTGGCTACAAGTCATGTCTAATTCGACATCAAAGACTTCACACTGGGGAAAAACCCTATCAGTGCCCAGAATGTGGGAGAGGTTTTGTCACAAAGTCAACCCTAAATCGACATCAGAGACTTCACACTGGGGACAGACCTTTTCAGTGCCCAGAATGTGAGAAAAGATTTGTGGATTCTTCTGAACTTCGGAGACACCAAAGAACACACAGTGGAGAAAAAGTATATAAATGTTCATCTCTTTGCAAACATAATAAAGCACAAACAAACGAGGAAAGCAAAATGTGCCCAGAATGTGGGAAATGTTTTTCCAGCAAATCATGCCTGCTGAAACATCAAAGAATTCACACCGGAGAAAGATCATATCACTGCCCAGAATGTAGGAGATGTTTCAGTGAAATGTCAAAATTAATTCGACATCAGAGAATTCATTCTGGGGAAAGACCCTACAAATGCCCAGAATGTGAAAAAACATTTGTGGATTCTTCTGAACTTCGGAGACACCAAAAGATGCACTGGGGAGAAAAACTTTATAAATGTAAGGATTGTGATAAATGTTTTTTTCAAAAGTCAAATCTTTCTGAACATCAAAGTATCCATACAGGGGTGAAACCCTATATGTGCATTGAGTGTGGAAGATTTTTCCGTACAATACAAATGCTCAGAAGTCATGAGAATGTTCACAGAGGGGAAAAAAAGTTCAAATGTTTAGACTGTGGGAAAGCATTTACTCGTCAATCAACCCTTACAAGTCACTACCAAACCCATACGGGTGAGAAACACCACAAATGCTCAGTGTGTGAGAAATCTTTTCTCCGGAAAGATACACTTGCAATGCATCAGAGAACACACTTAGAGAAGCAATATAAATGTCCGGAGTGTGAGAAATCTTTTCGTTGCAAATATTATCTTAGAAAACATGAGAGGCTTCACAAAGGAGAGCAACCATTCAAGTGTGTGCAGAAAAATGCAAAGTGTCCAGAATGTGGGAAGTGTTTTGGCAGAAAGTCATATTTAATTCAACATCAGAAACTTCACACGGGAGAAAGACCACATCAATGCTCAGAATGTGGTAAAAGTTTTGTTGAAAAGTCACACCTAATTCGACATCAGAAACTTCACACCACAGAAAGACCCCATCAGTGTCCAGAATGTGGGAAACGTTTTACCTACAAGTCACACCTAATTCGACACCACAGACTTCACACTGGAGACAGACCTTATCCATGCCCAGAATGTGGGAAACAATTTGTGGATTCTTCTGAACTTCGGAAACATCAGAAGAGGCACACAGGAGACAAGCCCTTTAAATGTGGAGAGTGTGGGAAAGCTTTTCTCACACCAACACGGCTACAAGCTCATCAGAGAATCCACACGGGGGAAAAGCCATACAAATGTGTGGAATGTGGGAAATGTTTTTCCCGACAACATCACCTTGGAAGGCATCAAAAGGTCCATACGAAATGAAGCCATAGAGATGTATATAGTGAGGTAATGTTTCACTCAAAAGCGAGACATCAGAAAACTCACAAAAGCCCTAATAGGCCCTGATGGTAGAACAGTTTTTTATAGTTGTTCAACCCTTAGAAGTTCATAAAGGGGGGAAAATTCAAAATTCTTCGATTGCGGGAGAGTATTTTCTTGTCAATTGTCCCTTTGAAATCACACTCTAATCCATACAGGAAAGTTGCACTTTAGATGTTTGAAGTGTGAGAGAACCAATTGGCATCATGGCAGGAATGTTGGAAATAGAACTCTGCAGAGCTCCATGAAAACCAGTAGGTATCTGCTTGCCCAGAGATCCTAGGGGGTCAATGTCACCCTGGAGGGGTAGTGAAAGAAGGAAAGGTGCCTCGTCAGCCATGAAGAAATAACAATTTTGTTGTTAGGTCCAAAGAAAGCTCTCCCGAATGGCAGCAGTGCAACAGCCATTTTTGGCATGTCAAAACTGTGACAACCTAGACAATAAGATTTGTGCTGCAGTGGTTTGTGGACAGAGCATTGAAACTGGGTGAGACAACTTCCAACTTATATTTTACAGATCTAACCCAAGTAAAAGAATTTTAAAAAATAATCTCCAAACATGAAGTAAGCAGCGATTGGAAAAGATTAAAGACTCAGATGTGAAAGAAATATTGATGGAAACTTTAAAACATAGAAAGCCTGGAACAGATTTATAATACCTTGAAAAGTGATTATTGGGAGAAAGTAATTTTCTTATTTTTATTTTGAACCCCTCCCTGATTTGTTGACAATCAGTTGTTGTTTTCTCCCACTGTTTAATGTTGGATTTGGAGCAGGGGAGCCATCTACTAGAGAAAAATTACTGCAGCGTGGGAACTCAAGTGAAAGTGATCATTGTTTAATATACACAAAAGAAAAGGAGTGAAAGCTGGGGTGGGATTCTACCGGCCCCCGCATGCTTCCCATGAGTCCCCATGCACCTGGTTCTGACTCCCAGGTAAGTGCAGGGAGGCTTGCAAGGCTAAAAATGGGTGGGGCGCACTCTGTGCCCCCTCTCCTGTGCCCCGTTTTGGATCTCCTGAGGCTCCGGGGAGGCTTGCTAGGCTAAAAACCGCCTATTTTTGCTTTCAGGGAGGTGCAGGAGGAGTGCTGCCTGTCACCCCCACCATGCCCACCCAGCTGGTGATTAGGGCAGAAAATCAGTTGCTAAATTAGTTGATTAGTTGGCCTCTCTCACCGGAGGGCTGCCTGCTCTCGCTCCCACTGGCCAGCATGTAAGGGCTTTGTTCAGTTTGTTCCTGCCCTCAAACAGTAAGGCAGGCACATGCAAAGTGCAAAGGTTCTCCTGTAGCTGGGCTTGCAATTGGCTTGCAACACCTGAGTTCCAGATCCTTCCTCCTCCTCCTGCTATGCCTGCTCCTGCCTCCTGCCTCCTCTTCCTGATCCTGCTTCCTGTTTCTCCTGCTACCTCTTCTTCCTTCCCCTGTTTCTTCCCCACTTTCCTCCTCTCCTCCCAGCACTGCAACTGGGCTTTGGTTCCTTTCCCGCACCTCTCCAAGTTTGCAAGACAAACATGCAGCAGCCCAACTTGCAACCAAGTATTTTCCCAACGCCTTGTTGGTGGGGGATCTCTCCAAGGTATGTTGGGGGGGGGGAATGTCACCTTAAGAGCTGGGTGGAGTTGGTTTGGTTTCTGTGTCTGTTGCTGCCTCTCCCGCTCCCTACTTTTTGTCAGCACTTCCTCAACATGCTGGATCTTTGGTTTGTTTTGCTGGAAGGGTGAGTTAGAATTGTTTCTTCTCCCCCACCTACCTTCCCACTTTCTTAGAAGCAGAAAATCACCAGTCTAATCTGGAAGAGAATTGCTGTGCTGAACCATTGAAAAGTGCAGGTGGTGGTCATTCACCCTATCATGCCCTTGGTAGAGTCGGACTCTGAGGGAGAGGAAATATAGCCGACAGGGAGTGGAGGTGTGGCTCTGGAGGTTTTTTTAATTTCACCTCTATCTGCTCATTAAATTAGGACTGTATTGCTTTCTTTTGAAGACTATCTTTAAGTACGTTTTATCTCCAACCGAGTATTGCTGAACAGTGGGGCCAAGTTGGAGGCAATAAAGGACATTTAATTACATTTTGGATTTTACGATTGTGTTACATTCTTGAGTCATCACACACACTCTCACTGCTTCCCTGGGTCTTTGGGGGTTTCCTCTGGAGCATAAGCAGAGAGCCTCTTCCATTGAAGGTTTCTCTTTGTCTTCTAATTTTCTTCCAGAGCAGAACAAAAAAGCCTCTTACTTTGAATGCTTTTCCAGTTCTTTATTCTGATTTTCTCCTGGACTGGAGCAAAATCATCTCGTGCCAGTCTTTAAGTAACAATGCCACATTTATTTTATAGCCCTTTCTATAGTGAAGTCGTCCCTGTGTGTTTATTCTGATTTTCCCCTGGACTGGAGCAAAATCATCTGGTGGCAGGCTTTAAATAAGAATCCAACACTTATTTTACTTCATGCATGGCCCACCCACTATTTAATTTACAACTTCTGTTTGTGCTTCTTTCCCAAACTCTATACTATTCTCCCTCCCTCCCCTCCCCCTCTCACACACAGGTGTATGGTAAAATTGTCTGCCATGAAACCAGTCCCTGATGCCAGAAAGGTTGGGGACCTCTGAATTAGACCATGCAGAGTCCCTACAGGAGAGCCCTTTCAAGGATTATGTATTAATAGAAAAGCAAATAACCTAGGTCTGATCCTAAAAGCTAAAGCTGCTGCACATAAAAAACAGAGGAACTCTGATCAACTATCACAGCCAGATTTTGCATCTGAGTGGAGGGCCTGAGAAAGGTGACAGAATAATAGAATAACACTTAAAAGGGACCTTGGGGGGAATCCTATACCATTTCAGAGAAAGGCTGTCCAGTCTTTTCTTCAAAACCTCCAGTGTTGGAGCACTCAGATCTTTTGGAAACAAGCAGTTCCACTGGTTAATTGTTCTCACTGTCAGGAAATTTCTCCTTAGTTTTAGGTTGCTTCTTGTTGTTCAGTTTCCATCCATTGCTTCTTGTTTTGCCTTCTGCTTCTTTGAAAAATACATTGCTACCCCTTCTTTGTGGCAGCCCCTTAAAAGCCTGTTGCCTATCACACTCTTGGGCAAAGCATGTCAGCCATTTCCTCCTTTCAGGGGTCCATGAAAGTACATCTATAGTGTGTAGATAATAAAATCGAAAAAAGGTGCACAACGTTTTTACAGAACTATAGATAAATTGAGGCTGGGTGTGACAAGGAATGGCTGGGAGGGGAGTGGCCAGGTGAGGCACCCCTTGAAGTGAGTGACATTGAGTTGGTCATGCTCACCCAGTCACGTGACCACAAAACTACGCCCATCCAGTCATGTGACTACCAAGTCCCACCCATCCACTCGTGACCAAGCCAGCCAGCAAGCCACGCCCATCCAGTCACATGACCACCAAGCCACACCCACAAATTAAGCCACGGCCACAGAACCAATTGTTAAAAAATTTGAATCCCACCCCGAGTGAAAGTAAATAACTTGGAAGGCCACTTGAGCTTGATTCTATTTCAGTAGGTGACTTTGATGTTGGAAATATCTAAAGAGCCTTTTGAAAGTCTTTAATACACATTAAATTGCAAATAATGACAACCTTAGTGAAACTGTTCACTGGAAAGTGGATTTGAAGGGCTTGAAGAAACTTGGGCCTATTTGGATTTAGATTACTAATGCTACTTGAGAGAACATCCTGTGAGGCAAAAGAAGAAAGGTCATAGAAGTGTCAGGGGGAAGAAGAAAAGATAAACAAGACTTTAAAATTTGGACAATTGAGAAGGTATAAATTGGAAAATTATAAAGATTGTAAATTATCAATTATAGCTTTTAAGGACTAGAAATTGAGGGGATTTGGAGGTATAAGTCTGGGATTGACTACATTTTATTAATAACTGGCTTTGGTGTTTTTGAGATATTGGGATACTAGAACCTTAGTGGTATATTGAGTAATTTTTAATATATTAAACTATTACAAAATGACTCAACAGGAGACAATAAAGATGTATGAAGAAATGATAGTGATGCTTAAAAGTATTTATGAAAATATGACAAGAATCATGAGATGATAGGATTCTTCAAAGATAAAGATGTGAGCGTAGAACGTCCTCAACAAATGGTGGAAGACATTGTATAAGGAATGCTTTATTGCTAATATGGGAAAAAATTAGAGTGCAGCACTATTTGAAGGTACCAGTTCGGTTTTCAACAATGGAAGCATTCATTTATCCAAATATTATGAACATGGGAAGTATTATTAGATATAAAGATATTTTGAATGAAAAGGGTGAGCTCAAAACTAAACAAGAATTAAATGAACAAGGGATTGATATGATTTGGTATTCATGTATGCAAATACAGTCTAGATATTAAAAAGATGTTAAATTGGATGGTTTTTATAAAGAATTGACTAAATTGGATAAAATATTGACAGGAACAGAAGAAAAATTGATAAAATTTATAGTTATTTAGTAGGTATTAAATTGGAAGAACAAGTAAAGGAGACAATGATAGCATGGGCAAAAAAATTTGGGTATACAATAAAATTAGATAAATGGTAGAGACTATGGGATAGGAACTATCAGTTAATGTCAACTGTATATAAAGAAAACTTATATAAGATGTTCTGTAGATGGCATTTTGCCCTGGCAAAGTTGGCAAGGATGTTTAAGACAAGTCAGCTAAATGTTGGAAATGCCACCAGATATGCAGATCATACTATCAGATGTGGTGGACTTGCGTAGAAGCTAAAAAATACTGGACAAAAATACACACATGGATGGAAAAGATAATACAGCAACATATTGATTTAAAACCTGAAATATTTTTGTTGGAGATTTTACCTGAAAATTATAATAAAGAAAATGTATATTTATTCATTTATTAACTGCAGGTATTTGCACAAAATTGGAAAGATCACATGAAGTGTTCATACAATTTTATACTGCCTTGGTTAAGCCACACTTGGCATACCGTATCCAGTTTTGGTCACCATGATGTAAAAAAGATATTGAGACACTATAAAGTTCAGAGAAGAACAAAATGATAAGGAAACTGGGCTAAAACACATGAAGAACAGTTCCAGGAATTGTCTATGTTTAGTCTAGTGAAAAGTATTGGGGTGATGTAAAAGCAGTGTTCCAATATTTGAGGGACTGCCACAAAAAGGAGGTCAACCTGTTCACCAAAGCACCAGAAAGCAGGACAAGAAGCAATGGATAGAACATAATCAAGGAGAGAAACAACCTAGAACTAAGGAGAAATTTCTTGACAAGTTAGAACAATTAATTAGTGGAATAAGTTGCCTTCAGAAGCTGTGGATGCTCCAACATTAGAAGTGTTTAAGAAAAGATTGAGCAGCCATTTGTCTGAAATGATGTAGGGTTTCCTGTTTTAGCAGGGGGTCAAACTAGATCTTCCAGAACCCTTCCAACTCTCTTACTAACATTTACTACTATTAATCAGTGGAACTGTTTGCCTCCAAAAGTTGTGAGTGCTCCCTCAGTGGAGGCTTTTAAGAGAGGCTAGAGAGTTGCTTGTCTGGAATGGTATAGGGTCTCTTGCTTGGGCAAGGGGTTGAGCTAGAAGACCTCCAAGCTCCCTTCCGACTCACCTGTGGCTTGGAAAATGTTACACACCCACCTATTACCCCCATCAATGCCCAGAATATGAGAAATTGTGGAGTTTCCTGAACTTCGGAGACAAATCTCTGATCTATGTGTGTTGTGGCTGCATCTATTTGCAGTTTCAGTGCCACACTTTCCCACAATGCACCTGGGAAGAGGAGCCCAGAGTGGGGACGGAGCTCCATAGGAAGGAATGAAAGGCGAGGAAGACTAAAAGACAAAGGTCCCTGCCAACTCTGTTATTCTAGTTCAA